CCAATTAGACTTTTTCCAATACTCTTTTAAAAACATTTCTTTGGAAAATGAAATAATTGTTAAATTTTCTGCACCATCGTATCGCTTCACTGTCAACCACATTTTTATGTTGTCATAGTTTCATATCCAACTTTCGTAATGAAAAGAAAAAAGGAAATAGTTCAAACAAGGTTTTTATTGCGTACTTATTTGTTTGGCTCTAGATATTCGTGCATAATCACAAGTACAAGCAAACAGACAAAAATATAGGGACTCCAAAACACACACGAGGATATACCGTAAACAAACAATACGGAAACATACTCATACCGATCAATATTTAGATCAATGATCAAAGCAAAGAGAAATTTTGGATTTTTTATTACCCACATAACTTTTATGAGCAAAAACGCTTGCTAAAGGTTCCTGTTGGCTTTGGAAGCTGACCCCTGCTTTAGGCTCTAATACATGTAATGTTATATCTTTTCTATGAAATTTGTAAAGTTTGTTATTACTGTTGTTGTCTACATCTAATTGTTGCTGCTTTGTTGTTTATGCCCCGTCTGATTAAGTATTTTTGTTCTGTATGCAAAACAGTTTACTAATTTTTTCCTCATTTCTGCTCTCAAAAGTAGGCAACATATTTGAGTTTCAAAGAAAAAAAAAACTACAAAATATTTGATGTTTTCACACAGAATACAATAAAAACTACAATATCAACAGAAACAACACCAATATAAACATTGTTCAACGAAATAATGATAAAGCAGCTGTTAAAATATCAGCAACAAAAACTAACAACAACTACAGCAATGTTTGTGTGAGTAAGTGTAAAAAGCAATAATAACGACAACATCAACAACAACAATTATTTTTTTTAAGAGTTTTTTTCTTTTCCTCTCTTAGTTGTTGGCCAACGAATATTGGTAGTTGTAATATAAATAACGAGAGGAACAAAAACTGTAAAAACCGAAGTTTGCCAACAACAAACTATTACTCACTCGTACTGTTGAGGTAATATTAAAATAGGTGAGGGCAAAACGAGAACCTTAAAAACTTTGCTATTTTTAATGGCAATAAAGGCATTAAATAGTAGTATACTTTCGCATACTAATATCAACATGCAGACATTTATATGATGCATATATGTATGTATGCATTTTATCTGACATTTGTTTACGATTTGAAATTAAAAGTAGAGAAATTGCACTAGATATTAAAACAAAAATTTGTTTTTGTTAAAGGGGTTGTAACGACTAGGCGAGAATGCTATTAACTAACTAAATTACTAACTTACTAATTTACTAATTCACTAGCTTACTAACTTACTAAATTACTAAATTACTAACTTGCTAACTTACTAACTCACTAACTTACTAACTTATTAACTTACTAACTTACTAACTTAATAACTTACTAACTTACTAACTTACTAACTTACTAACTTACTAACTTACTAACTTACTAACTTACTAACTTACTAACTTACTAACTTACTAACTTACTAACTTACTAACATACTAACTTACTAACTTACTAACATACTAACATACTAATATACTAACTTACTAACTTACTAACGTACTAACTTACTAACTTACTAACTTACTAACTTACTAACTTACTAACTTACTAACTTACTCACTTACTAACTTACTAACTTACTAACTTACTAACTTTCTAACTTTCTAACTTACTAACTTACTAACTGTCTAACTTACTAACTTACTAATTTACTAACTTACTAACTTGCTAACTTGCTAACTTGCTAACTTGCTAACTTGCTAACTTACTAACTTACTAACTTACTAACTTATTAGCTTCTTAACTTATTAACTTACTAACTTACTAACTTACTAACTTATTAGCTTATTAAATTATTATCTTACTAACTTACTAACTTATTAGCATATTAACTTATTAACTTACTAACTTACTAACTTACTAACTTACTAACTTACTAACTTACTAACTTACTAACTTACTAATTACTAACTTACTATCTTACTAACTTACTAACTTACTAAATTACTAACTTACTAAATTACTAACTTACTAATTTGCTAACCTATTAACTAACTTTTAAAAGTTTTACATACTCGAGTTATCCTACTTTGGGACCTTTTGCTGCGCTCCTGTTTGGTCCATAAGTACAATACCTACATATATTCAGCAATACCTCCTGTTTATGTGCATGAAATTTCAATCATATTAAACTAACCGTTTAGATGTCATAGTTTTATTTCCCTCTTTTTTCCTATAAGTACCACTGTGCAACGTTCAAATAATTTTAACTAAATTGATATAGATTTCATATTCCAACATTCGTTTATTACGGAACGTAATTGGAGTATAAGTTCTATAAATTCGCAACTACCTTTCTCTGATGCTATAGCGCCCAATATAATAAAGTGTTTATGGAAGAATACCAACCAACCAGCCTTTAGGTAACATATGAGGGCGATATGGACGACTATAAACACCCATTCAAATACAAAGAAGGAGAAAAAAACGACATCATACATTGTTTGTTGGTTACGAATAATTAAAATAGGAAACAACTAAAGTAAAGAACACTCTTCTGCTAGATGACAGCTGGGTGGATCCTTCATACACACACATGATTGCAAGTATACATATGTGTGCCATTAAATGATGTGATGTGATAAACTTTAAAAGGCTTAAGGATGTGTATTGTTGTTGTTGTAGGTTTTTTACGATCCCAGTATAAATTATACGAGAAGGCCTACATTTGTCTCCTCTTATTTGCTTTAACTGCTGGGTATCACTCGATATAATAAAGAAACTTGCATCGTAATTTGTTGTGCTCTGCGTGGTGGGAAGGGGAGCTGGATTTTATTGAATTTCCAGTGGGGTACTTGTAGGTAAGTTGTAAAAAAGTTTGTATTTTTTTTTACTTAAAATGTTTTTTATTTTCCTGTTGTTAAAGTTTTTTGTTTCTTTCTAAAAGGTTTTGTGATAAATGTGAAAAAAATTAAAACAAAACTTTGTCTTGCTGTGTGCAACATTAAATTTGTTTAAAAATTTTCATAAACTTTTTTTTGAGGTTTCGTCTATACATTATCATGTTAAAAGGCAGGTGTGAGTTGTAAAAGAAAAATCTTAGTTTAGGTTAATTAATAAGTTAACAAAAAATTCCTTTAAAATGTCTTGCCTCTAACTGAAATTGTTTAGTTCTTTTAAAATTTAAACTAAAAATTGATTTATTTAATAACAATACTTACCCTCACGCAAGGTCACTATGTAGTAGGATTCTTTGGAGGGTGGACTTATGCCCAATTTATTGACTGCTTTCAAACGAAAACTATACACTGTAAATGGTATGAGACCAGTTACTTGATACGATGTCACATTCGATTTTGTTTGTATTTGTGGCACTTGATCCCATTGACCATTCTCGCCCACTCTGAAAAATAAATAAAATAAAAATGAAAAAGAAATTGAAAAGCGAACAAAATGATGAGAAATAAAAAATAATATTTACTTATATCTTATAGTTTAAATGTATTTTAATTCAATTCACTTTTTATAGATTTTCTTTTCTCTTTTTTTTTTTTTTTGAAAAGTAGGGACAACAGAGAGCAGGAGAAATTGTGAGTCTCACTTAAACAAATATAGACCACCATTACAATTCAATTGAATGGCTTTAGTGGAATGAACATATGAATGAATGTATGAAAGAAAGCAAGTTGTGTTTGTTTAGTTCTTTAGAAAACTACTTAAATACACAGGCACTCTTACTAACACATCCAAATACCCACATCCGGTACACTTATTCAAACTTATGTATATAGTCTAGCCACTTTAACAGTGTACAAATATCAACATTTAAGTTGTATGTGTGTGTTTTTTTGGCCCACAAAATAAAAACTTTTGTTTTTTTTTTCTCCTATTTTATTGTTGCTTTTTCTTCCAGAGCTACAAACAGCCATAATTCGTTGCTTTATATTTAAGTTAAGCGTAAAAAAGAATTTTACGCTCTACATGTATGTTTTTCTAAATTTTTTTTATATTTATTTTCTTTCATTTTATTTTATATATTTATATTTTCTTTCATCGATGCATGAGATTTAATAATAAACAGGCAATGGCAATTTTCATTTCATTTAAACAATAGAAAAATGTATTAAATTTTTCCATTCTACTTGATCATCAATGGGAATTGATTTAAGGCAATTGTTTTGTGTTTTTTTACAATTACTTATGGGATTTTTTTTTGTAAGGGAATCATTTTTGACAAGTTTTAAGCTGATTTTATTTTGAACTTTTAAGTGTTTTTCTTGTTGTTATTGGCAGGAAATATTTTAAATTGAAATGGGAAATATTAAGAGAGTGTGGAAATGGTAGTTATACTCTGTGGGGAGGTTTGCTAGGAATTATAATTTGCAAAAAATGCCTACAAATTGCTATGTGTAACTTTTATTAAGTACTAAAGTTTGACGCGTCAAAATTAATTTTTGTTAAAGGACTAGTTATTGCTATATATATTTTTAGAAAAAAAAATCATCATTGTCTAAGTTTGACCACTTTTAGAGCGGCATTAATTTCCAAAGAATTTCTTTGACTTCGAAATATATTACTTTGGTGGGCAAATGTAGTTGTTTCTCTCTTTGGAAATAGTTCTCTGAATGAATCTAGTAGCCTTAAGAGCTATCGTCAAGGGAAAATCTCGTTCGAAAACAATCTGGGCATACATTTCTAGAATATCCTAATTGTCCGTAATTTAATTGGTGACAACTTCTAGTCCATTAATATAGGTTATTAAAAGCCTGAGTGGAATAGTAGCTACAATATTACTGTTTAGTTAGTTAGTTAGTTAGTTAGTTAGTTAGTAAGTAGTTAGTAAGTTAGTTAGTAGTTAGTTAGTTAGTTAGTTAGTTAGTTAGTTAGTTAGTTAGTTAGTTAGTTAGTTAGTTAGTTAGTTAGTTAGTAGTTAGTTAGTTAGTAGTTAGTTAGTTAGTTAGTTAGTTAGTTAGTTAGTTAGTTAGTTAGTTAGTTAGTTAGTTAGTTAGTTAGTTAGTTAGTTAGTTAGTTAGTTAGTTAGTTAGTTAGTTAGTTAGTTAGTTAGTTAGTTAGTTAGTTAGTTAGTTAGTTAGTTAGTTAGTTAGTAGTTAGTTAGTTAGTTAGTTAGTTAGTTAGTTAGTTAGTTAGTTAGTTAGTTAGTTAGTTAGTTAGTAGTTAGTTAGTTAGTTAGTTAGTTAGTTAGTTAGTTAGTTAGTTAGTTAGTTAGTTAGTTAGTTAGTTAGTTAGTTAGTTAGTTAGTTAGTTAGTTAGTTAGTTAGTTAGTTATGTATTGACTTGTTTAGTGTTAGGATGGATAAGAATTGGTTTTAGGTCAAAATAGTGAACGACACGCACGTACTTGCAAGCTAACCAGTTCGGGAGTTTTGGGCGGGGATCTTGTTACTATTTAGAGACCGAATGTTCAATATCAAAAAAAAAAAATTTACGTGCGCTTTAATTTATGCCCTTATCACGCCAACACAAGGAATTATCATAAATTGTGTTTCCATATTGTCTATTGCATTACACATTTTTAATATGAGGTACAGCTAGATGTTGTTAGCTGTAGCCAACTATCCCTCCCATCCATGTTTTTTTTTTCATAGGCAATCGATTAAAAAAAAAACCCTAACACACCCTTTCCTTACCTACGACACTGAAGTTTTACATGAAAAGTCAAAAGTTAATTCATCTTCAATATTTCATATATTGCAAAAAAAAAAAAAAATAAACGTACAAAAAAAATTATAATTAAGAGAGAGAACAACATAAAATTACATATTGTAAGTGATACAATAAAAAAAAATATGGATTGTAATTATAACAAACTAATTACAGAGAAATTTTTAAGCTTTGCTTTTGTAGTAATATCACTCTTAACAGAGCGATTGATTAACTCTCTTCTTTCAAATAAAGCAAGAGATAAAAAAGTTCTTTGTAACAGCTTGATCAAAACAAAATAGGAATAAGTTTATAATTATGTATTATACGAGCACATTAATGATAATTTGTTTAAATGCAGTCATATGTACATATAAATATATTTAAAAATGTTCAAAGATTGACTTACATACATGAGCTGATTCCAGGAATGCTGAAGGCCTTCTGCTTTCTCGAGGAATTGACGATGCTGGTAACCATATTCAAGTTTCATATAGTTTAAATATATTTATATGTTAGTGATAATGTACACAATTTTATGAATCTAATGTGGTTAAATTTTATACACAAATACTTAAGCAAAAACGATGTTTAGATATTTAGAAATTTCTCTTAAATCATAAATAATATGGAAGTATATTCTCAAAACTGGGATATTTGTTATAAAATATTGGGATTAGATTATAAATCGGATGATAGACATTTTTTTTTCTGTAAAATTAAATTATTATTATTGGTATTATTAAATAAAATAGGAAATAAGAAGTTAGATTTCATATGTTTTAATAGAAAATAGTGTTATATCAAATATAGGTAAATAATTTTCCTTGAATATTCATTAGGTTTTAATATATGTTTTTACATATGGTTTTATACATTCTATGGTAAAATGTATATAGGAAATAATTAGGTGGTCATATTAGGTAGATTTAGGAATAGCTTGTTGTAATTTGGGTTAGATAATTGTTGTAATTTAGTATATAAATTTGATTTAGTTTAGTTAGAATTTAAGAGTTTTGGTTAGAATCTTTCGAGACAAAAATAAGTTATTTTCTTTTTATGCCAATGCAGGTGTCAATTCTGGTATGTAGTGGAAATAAAGCAGGAGGAATTAAAGTTGAATTTGTCGTCACGATAGTGGATTTATTGTTTGTTTGGAAGTTTACAAGATGTTATGAGATGTTCAGATATCAGTAGAATCTACGCAGAATCGAAGTTAATCCAGGTGGTAATAAAAATTAAATCTCTCGAGTGACTAAGTTCAATGCTGACGACCATGAGGTCCAAACTAGTCCAGGTCAGTCAGAAAACGCACCCGAGAGATTGTAGTGGAACTTATGGTCAGTTTAATGGTATTTGGAGAATCTGTCTCAATCCTTTGGAAATTTTGTGAATACCTTTTTCAAATAAATAAATGTTCCCACGGATAATGTTCTTTCGGAGATTATTTTGATTTTATTGGAAACTATATTATTTCCGGATCACAAAATTTAGGGTAAATATTCAGAACGATATCAAAAAAAATTTATATTTAAACCACGTTGATTTTTTTTCCCGATCTTTAGCGGTATTCGAAGTTATTCTTTTCTTACTTGATGTTAAAATTCAAAAAGACCTGTTACATCGATCATTACTATAGATCACACCTCTTATTGCGTTGTTAATTATCTTCTTTTTCGACTTAACTTCTTTTGAGTAAAAGCTTTTAGAAGAGTATAGATTACTTGATAAATATATATCTATCTCAAAAAAATCATATCTATCTAGAGCGACATATACATGATTACGGCGAAAATATACATGATACTTGATGCGAAAGTAAGTGAAAAGTAGGTGTAAAAGAGAACAGCTGAAAATCGACAACGTTGTGTATAATAGTACTTATGTAGTAACTGGTATATTTGGTACATTTTTGTGTACATGAACACTTAAAAATAAGTACCAAAATATTTAAACATAGTTATGAATATTTTATGCTTTCCAATATTATAAAAAGTACTTCTGGTCAGAATTAAACAAATATAAATGTTACAGTTAGTTAGTTAGTTAGTAGTTAGTTAGTAGTTAGTTTAGTTAGTTAGTTAGTTAGTTAGTTAGTTAGTTAGTTAGTTAGTTAGTTAGTTAGTAGTTAGTTAGTTAGTTAGTTAGTTAGTTAGTTAGTTAGTTAGTTAGTTAGTTAGTTAGTTAGTTAGTTAGTTAGTAGTTAGTTAGTTAGTTAGTTAGTTAGTTAGTTAGTTAGTTAGTTAGTTAGTTAGTTAGTTAGTTAGTTAGTTAGTAGTTAGTTAGTTAGTTAGTTAGTTAGTTAGTTAGTTAGTTAGTTAGTTAGTTAGTTAGTTAGTTAGTTAGTTAGTTAGTTAGTTAGTTAGTTAGTTAGTTAGTTAGTTAGTTAGTTAGTAGTTAGTTAGTTAGTTAGTTAGTTAGTTAGTTAGTTAGTTAGTAGTTAGTTAGTTAGTTAGTTAGTTAGTTAGTTAGTTAGTTAGTTAGTTAGTTAGTTAGTTAGTTAGTTAGTTAGTTAGTTAGTTAGTTAGTTAGTTAGTTAGTTAGTTAGTTAGTTAGTTAGTTAGTTAGTTAGTTAGTTAGTTAGTTAGTTAGTTAGTTAGTTAGTTAGTTAGTTAGTTAGTTAGTAGTTAGTTAGTTAGTTAGTTAGTTAGTTAGTTAGTTAGTTAGTTAGTTAGTTAGTTAGTTAGTTAGTTAGTTAGTTAGTTAGTTAGTTAGTTAGTTAGTAGTTAGTTAGTTAGTTAG